CCATATTGAGAGCCATATCCAGATGTATTTGCTTCCATTAAAAAAAAGAAGTCATAGTGCAATACTGACATGTTACCAGCCACTGGCACACAAAAAACTGTCCCACCGGACTGACAAGAAAGCATGCAAAGCGGCTTTTGTCGGTACCTGACATTCTCCTCGTGTATTTTACTGTGGCCCAAGATAGTCTGAAAGGATGCCATTACCAAACAGAAATCAGAAAGATCAGCAGGACAAATGGGAGTTAGCACATCAAGGATGTAAAGCTTTTAAAAAACAACATAGCACATAACAACATAACCTGTCTGACAAGAGCATTTCCTAACTGGGAATTTCGTCTGTTGTGGCAAAGTAACCAGTGATTTCATCATTTTGAAACGCTGTGCTGTTCAGAGCACTAAGGGGGACCCAATTTTGCAACGATGTGCAGACCAGGCGCTGGGCCGGGAGAAGCCAACCCAGATGTTTGCAGACACAGCTTCCTACACTGGCAATGGCTGGTACCAGCAGGAGAAGGCAGCTTCTGTGGGACTACTCGAGAAACTGCTGAGAAGGAGACAACGTAATGCCAGAAAATTCCCTGCGCTGTGTGGCCTGTGCGCTTTTAGATAAAATTTTTTTTAAAAATCTCCCCCTTGCAAAAAAGTGGCCAGTAGCTCCCATCTCAGAAGAAAGAGTACAAATGCCTGGCAAGTAGGTAATGATCCATCTTCCAAATACTCCCCCAGCACCCACAGTGTTTGTGGCAAGAAGTCCCACACTTTCACAGTGTGAAGCAGCATCTCCTCTGTTTTGTGCTGAATCTGCCACCTCCTCATTCTGTTTGATGCCTCTAGGCTTTTGCGTTGGAGCAGAAAAAGGCAAGTGGCCCCCACTTTGCCACCTATCTCATATAACCACAAAATTATGACTTCCATTTGTTCTCTACTTCCTAATAGCTAATTTTTTTTCTTCAGTGCTTCTGAAAAATGTTTTTTTAATGGATCTTAAAACACAGATAACCTTGAAGTCTCATTCTTAATTGGTAGTAGTCAACCTAAAAACAGTAATTATAACGACAGTTCAAGAAAATTTTTTCCTCATATGCATCATTTTACTTTTATTTGTGTTGAATTTCCTCAATTGTTTTAACTCTCTTCCACTCAATTTTGAGCAATCCATCTGCAGTTCTTGGTCCTGGTAAATGAGTATCTTCCTTTAATTTACTTGCCTTTAATTTAAACTGATAATGGAGACTGAATTGATTACTTCAGCTGAGAAACCGTTCTATACTGTGTGAAAAGACCTGCTTTGGTGGCTTGACAGGTATGCTATAATATTTATACTTTACCTTATTATGCCTGATCTTTTCTTGTGGTTTATTGCCAGCTGGATTGCCCACTGGTGCTGACAGGCTCTTCATCTGTGCTCTTGTTTTAGGATGCTGTTGCATTACTTTGGAGAACTGCCAGCTGACCTAATAAATCCAACCTAAGGCAAGACCACCCTCGTGCATATGGAGATGCTGCAGTGAAAAAACTGGGCTTTATATTTTCCTATAGCTTTCTTGTGTTCGGATGCGGTTGCTGGAACAGGCATGTTCATGAAGACTGGCGGGCAACCTCTTGGCATGGCTCTCCCCTGGTAGGTGCATGTGCCGCATTCGGGGGAATTAGCTCACAGGAACGTGTAGGCGAGCGAACCGGAGTCAATGCTGATTACAGCTGGCTGTTTGTGGCATACTACGCCTTTCTACCAGCACAGCCTGTCGGGGCTTTTGTGTCAGCGCTAGGTAGCTATTCATCACTGAAGGTATTGAATAATGAAAATAAAAATGACCTGAGAGCAACTTACCTGCCAGTCTTTCAGGAGGGCAGAGTACACATGCAGACGCAATGGTACTTGAACCCATCTAAATAAAAGATAGTTAGTTGGCACTGTACATCCATGACTGACTTTCTGTAATTTACTCCCTACTGGCCAAATCCGATCAATTTGCCCCACATGCTATGAAAAGCCAGAGACCAGAGCAGAAGACAGGATTTAATACGCTCTTGGCAGCCTGTATTTCTAAGGAGTCATGCTGCTGCCTTCTCCATTAGCTGGAGTTTCTCTAAGAGGTGGTGGCTAGGGTTAGATTAAAACAAAAAAAAACCAAAAATAACAGTGCTTTGTTTGGGGGAGTGGTAAAAACTACACACGCAAAGGAGCACAGAGGGGATGGCAGGTGGGAGAACCCAGGTAACACCCTGCCCCAGCTACTCCCAGGCCCCTGGCAGGAGCCATCAGCCCATCAAAGGCCCATCACCACAAACCCAGAGGAGCACAGGGGCACAATGGCAGGCGGGAACCCAAGTTAAGGACTCACAGGGACACCCTGGCTGGGCCTCTCCCAGGGCTGTCGCAGGAGTGCCTCAGCCCCTGCCCAGGTGTGAAACCACCCATCAAGGTGAGGCAATGGGAGGGCTCTCACAACCGCCGTTCAGACTACCGGAGGCCACTGCCTGGGGGTGCGGGACACGTTATGGGATGCAGGGGAAAAGCATTTTAGGATTGCACAAGATTTATGGGATGTTTAGGAGAGGAACAGGAAGTGGTGAAAGGAATGGCTGTAGGGGATTTGGAGAGGAACAGACGTGGGAAAATAAAGGGATGAAAGGATAAAAAGGCCTGGTCAGTTGTAAAGAGGTACGCTTGTCTGGCCATGCCCGATCACCACAGTCTGTCCTGTCTTATTAAATGTCATTTCTAACTTTTTTCCTGTGTGAGGAAGAGGCAAAACCGTGAGAGGAGCTGGCTACCAGGGGGACCAGGGGAGTCCCAGGCGGCTGCTGGAGAGACCACGGGTGGTGTAAGACCCATGTGAGTGCGCACATAGGTGTCTCCAGGGGGGAGGGACCTGGAAAGACCAAGGACCAGCTACTGGGTGCACTCTGTGTCCGAAGCCAGCTACTGCAGAGACTACAATGTGTATGCGTGTGCGCACATGTGTATGTGTGTGTGTCTCTGAGTTGAGGGGTCTGTATCAGCAACAGGAGTGGGGCTGCAGCCTCAGGGGCTCATATGTCAGGTGCCAGCAGGTGGGGAGACTGGATCCAGGGGCCAGATACTGGACAGAGTGTCGGAGCCCAACTGCAGAATATATTGTATACACATCTGTATTTCCCACTAATGGACCTTCATCCTGATCAGCCAGATCCTGGATGAGGCCATTGGTGCTGTCTGTGTTGTGTGAGTGCTGTATATATGTGTTGTGCATGTGAGCTGTGTGTTGTACCTACTGGGAATACATGCTCAGCCTTATTGTTGGTTGGACCTGGAGGCAAGGAGCTGCAGCAGCCTCGCTTCTATCAGGCTACCAGATTCACTCCACCCTCTTCAAAAGCCACACAAAACGTGTTAGCAAAATTGATAGCAACATGTCTTACAATAGCTGATGCATTACCCTGAGACTGGGAGGTTAAATACATGTCAACACATTAGAGCAATGAGTGATGCAGAGGCACCTTAGCTAGCTAGTGCTGTCCGTGCCAGAACACGCACATAGCACAACAGAGCATCATACAGTAATGCTGTCTTGGGTGTGAAAATGTTATTATCCTGCACTACGAGAGTCCTTGTGGCTCTACTGCTTCCTAACACCGTCTTAGCTCAGACTCTCCTTCCACTGGTATTCACACACCACACTTACTGCACAGGCCAAACAAGGGCTGAGTGTAGGCATGTGTTTGGGGTAGGTAGACAAGACTTGCACCCTCCATGGTTCAAGCAAGAACTGTGACCACTTGATTGTGGAGTCAGTCTCCTCCCGCTCAGTCACTCACTCGCGGTGGCGTTCGCAATTACATTTCCATGGGCTAGAGAGGGAAAGGCAATTAAGTGTTGAAAAAGGGCTTGGTGGTGGTGGTTTTGCTAGAGCAATGCTATTTATCCTTCTCCGGCCATGTATATTACACAGCTGAAATCCAGCTGGGAAAGAAAAGCACCGTTGTTTTCCACACTGGATCAGTATTGTGGAGAAAGCAGAAAGCATTTCTGCTGGACGTTGCTATGTCAGTGCATAGTATTATCAGACAGTCCAGAAGCTGTCCTATGGTGGTCCCTCCCTAAACAAGGGTGGATGTGTACCTACCCAAAGGAGGCTGTGTACCTGCAAAGCAGATTGGACAACAGTTCTTCAAACTGTCAGAGAACATAACTCTTATTTTGCAATATCGATTCTGCTTCAACCAGCCTGGTGCTCAGTCATGGCCTGAACCTTGTCCAAGCACCAGGCTGAGTTGGAAGCAGCAGTTTTATCACTTAAGGTGAAAAAAAGGAGTTAACATCATAGGTTGGTTATGACATCGCCTGGCTGATCTAAAAGGTTACTCTGGCAAAAGAATGTATAGAGAGAAGCTAACATTTACAAACCAGAGCAAGACACATGAATACAAGCTGCATTTTAAATTGGCTCATTAACACTCAGACCAGGGCCCTGACTGCACCAATAGGCCTTGACTGCCCTGACCAGCCTCACCTGGGATCTCCACCCCACACCCCCTGCCCATGGGTCTGGGAGATACACTTAAGCCCTGCCCTGGGCACCTAGTCCTTGTTTGAGAGAGGCTATAGGTGTATCTATCACCAGCCCTGACTCCTGGGTAGACTTTCTTTGACATCTGTTACAGTCCTGTCTCCAGTCCTGCCTGCTGCTGCTCCTGACTGGACTCCTGGAACAGAGTCTCGGGATGGACTCCAGATCTGGTTCTGCACCTTGTCTTGTCTGTGCCTGTCAGCGGACCCTGTTACCATCATCCTGCTCAGCCCATTCACTTCGAATTCCACAGGATTGGAGGACTATGCCCTGACTGTTGAAGGCAATGCCTCTGCTGAGGTCGTCCTTGTCTCCCAGCTCATCATCCTGCATGAAGCAGACCAACTCTTGCTGTTCCCTGGCAGCCTGCACCGCATGGACAATGCCTATGCAAAAATCTCTGATGTTATCATGCCCTTAATGTGCCCGTGTTACAGGTGAATCCATGATACCTGTTTACCACTATGCCCTGATGCAACCAAGAAATGGAATTCCTGCCAGGACTGGTGAGAGCACAAACCAGGTGATGTATTGTGATGCCAACAGTGATGGGGCTGAGTTCTTCCAAACCACCCTGGCTGCCTGTTATGACAAATCTTGCTGCCTCACGTAGATGCGTTCAAATACCACTTCTCTTCATCTCATCACTTCTTAAAGAAACTCAGCAGGGAAACCATATCATCAAGACCGTGCCTGATGCTGCTGCCGATCATGGGTTTCTAGTGCTTGGAGAATTCCAGCAGGCTCCGCAGAAGGGACTAGCACCCTTGTGACCTCTCTTTTCTTAGACATACTCCTCTGTGTAAGAAATGGATTGACCTAAGTGAAACAAGGTATGAATGGGAAGCAGAAGTCTACTACATATATTTTTTTAAAAAGCCAGTGGCAGTGTATTTCTATTCTTCTTGGCATTCTGCTACTTACTGAGCAGTCATGAACAAATCATTTGACTTTTGTATCTATCTGCTTAGGTTAATAGAACTTAGCTGTTTAATATAGATTTATGAAATATAATTAATGAGTAGCCTTCAATTTTTTTCCCTCAATGAGTCAATCAATATTATGTTACTTATTCTCCAGCTTTTATGTTAAAGTCAGCCTGGTCAGCTGCTGGAGAATTTCTACTTCAGAGCATCTCCTAAGTCCTGCTCTCTTCTTGACTCCTGACAAAAACATATGTGATCCAAGAGGTGCAAAGATAGAAGTCACCATCTAGCACTGAGAACAGCCCAAGGGTTTCTACTGTTATTTGCAAAGTACGTCACTATACTCATATAAAAAATACATCAATAAAAAAAAAGTTATCTTAACAGTGGCAAAAATATACAAATTACTTATTAACAAGAAGAACATACTGAAGTATAGAATAGCATGTGCAAAAGCACATATTTATAGATTCACAGGCCCTTTTTCCTTAAATAGTAAAGGACGAGTCAAGAGCTGTGAGAAAGCCTTACTAAGTTCCCCTTTGCACTTGAGATTGCATGTTCCTAAAAACGTGTGTTTTGCGGGGAGAGATTCTGCTCGTTAGTAGTATAATAAAGCCTATCAGGAAGGGTTATGTTTGTTTCTTTTCATAATCATCAGGGTTTTTTTCAACATATAAGTCTTTTTATCTCTATTCCCTTTAACTTGTAAATTTATTTTTGTTTTGTGGATAGGCAAAATGAATAGCAAGTTTGATTTTAAAAGCATCAGTTCAAGTCAGGCGTCCATTATGGGTGACCTTCAGAGACTTCTTAGCCAAGGAGAATATGCTCCTTTTACCTCTGCTCCCATCTTCGAGAGCAAATTTGTCCAGGTAAAAAGTCATTCAAATGAAATCATTTGGCATGCTCAAGATAAAATTGCTTGTAACAGTTACCCTGGTTTTTTCCTCCCTCAACTCAACAGGTATTCCTCATTCATTTATTCTCACTATTCTTAATCTCTGTTTACTACACATATGGGTATGTTTCCCTTCTCCTATAGACTCATTCTGCTCACATTTTAAAGGCAATAGTCCAGAAACCCAGCAACAGCAATGCTGCAAATTAGAGAAGGAGGACAAAGAGTGATGTTTTCACCCTTCCTTGTCAGCCCCTACTCCTTCCTGTAGCAACAGCTAGGACTGTTCTAGAAAATTTCTGCTTCTGTGCTCTCTCATTAAGGTTTTTAGCCATCAACATCAGTTCAACCTAGCCTAAATGGCAGCCGGCCTTTCCCAGGCAATCTCCCCCCGCTTGCAACTTCTAGTATCCTTGCAGGCAATATCACTACCCTGGCTGTCACTTACCCTAAGCACTGGCCAAAGAACCCTGCCGTCTACACTCTTACAATACTGCATTCACAGTATGTCTAAAATATCTGTATTCTATTTACATGATGTATCTCAACAGTGTTTTTCATTCATAGGGTTTCATTACCTCACTTTGTGATAATTGCAACATCCTTTGGTCTTGCCTTGATTAATTCAATCTTGCATTGTTGATACACATGCAGAATGTTAATTAGCTAGAGTCTCTGTTTTCAAGGTACTTTATGATCTATCCCTGCTTTATTTATCAGACCTCATTTACTATCAAGGAGGCAGTTGCCCTAACCAATCAACCCAAGAAAATAGCAACATCACTGACTCATTTACATTAAAATGAAAAAAAAAAAAAAAAAATATTGCCTTTGATCTTTTTTACGTACTGTCTCTCACACTTGGGAGGAGATTCTACCAGATATCCATAAATTTAATGCACTCTCCTCCCTCAAATTCCTTCTTGGACACACTTTTTCTCTGATGCCTATCAAAACCAAACCCTGACAATGGTACATAACACGTGATTCGATCATACTACCTTATTCTTATCTCCTTGTATTTTCTCATTTTTCTCTTTCTATAATTTCATGTCTTGCACATTAATTTCTTGGGATCTTTTTCCATTCTGTGTTTGTACAGCACCTAGCAGGATCCTGGTTCATAACTAGGTCTCATTAATATCACAGTAATGCTGACAAAGACAGTGAATCATCAGAACAGAGTGCCTCTTCCATCATGTTTACACTAAGAGAAATTCACGATAATGGTACTCAAGAGGTTTCTGACCACAGCAATCAGATACCCAATGATTTGGACTACACAAGAGCTAGTGCTTTCCAGTCCTCCTTTATCCTTATTCAACTTCTTTCCTTCCTTTTCATTCGTAAACATTCCTGTCTCATTATTTCACATTCCCCTCTCTCCTCACCAACCCAGTACATAAGCTCTAGGGCCCCCAAGCCAAAACACCGTGAAATGTATTGGTAGTATATTCTCTGAGTGATCATATGGCAAATGTCAGTGTCGATGGGGCTTTTTTTTATTCAGGTTAATCGAAGAGGGGAACCAATTTCTGTCCATAACCAACCCAGCTGTGTGACCATTGGCATCTGTGCTGCCAATCCCAGTTCGCCAATGCCCAATGCGATGCTGGTAGCGTGCAAGGTGCCCGTGTGCCCACAGGAAAGTACGACAAACTTCTGGAAACTCTCAGAGCAGCCATACCACATGGAACAGCTAGCACTTACCAGGTGAGTTAGCACTGAGAAGGGTTAAATATTTCTTTGAAGAGTAAATAAGAAATACGAATGTATTTCCCATTTCCATACAGTGTTTTCCTTCTTTTAAGGGTCAGTTTATTAACAGACCTCATATTTGCAGTGACTCTTTGTCCCAGCACTAGCACAGTAAAGTTAGGAGAATCACTTAAGTACACACCTTTAGGCCCCACTCCGGTCATCATTTCAGGCCGACGCTACCCACATGGGTATAGATAGATGGTGACTACAAATACTTAATAAACCTTTTTCTAAATATATCAGAAGCTGAAAGCTGGCAGGAAGATTGGGGGTACAGGATTGTCAGGGAATAAGGCAGTGGGATAAAGGCATTGTAGAGAAGCCAACTTCCTTTGCCTCCATTCTGTGCACTGCTGCCCAGTATCTCTTCCACAGTCAGCTAGAGGCATTCATAAGAAGAGTGTCCAAATCCACTCAGCAGCTTCTTCCTATTCCAGTTTCTCACTTTTAGTCTTATTCTATCTGTAGGTCTGACAGAGACAATATCTTTTTTGAGAGGAATCTCCACTTGTGCTTAATGATGAGTTTCCACCTTTTTTTACAGGTTATTCCCCTTGAAGTTTGTGGAACTCTCTGTCCACAGCACAGATAAGCATCACCTCATGTTAAAATTAGTAAATGGCCGTTCCTATTATCTAGAGCTCTGTGCCCCGACAGACCAGCAACAACACCTATTCCACCTGTGGCTGCAGCTCATCTCTCTCCTGAAACCCCCAGAAAATACCAGCAATACCAAAGTTGATGTAAAATGCAAGGATTTTGGCACGTGTCACAAGAAAGCTCCCAGCTCAAACAACCCATCAGAAAATGTGAGTCTTTAGCAAATAAATGTCAAAAGTTCAAGCTGACCAATCAGAAAGTAACATTTGTGCCAACATTCTTCACTATAGCTCAAGACAAAGTTTTTGTGTGCTTTGAAGGAGCTACAGTTCTGTTTATCAAAAAGAACGGCTTTTTGTAAACTCCCTACAGAATTTCAGGGCAATGGAAGTGAGGATGCTAGGCACACCATAGCCCTGATAAATTTTTGCAGATCAATAAATAGCATACTACTTATTGTTCAGTGTTTAGTTTTCCCTAATAGTTGGGGGTATGTTCTTAAATGGTTCTTTTTGACTGAATTCCACAACCCACTGAAAAAGAGCAGAGAAGGAAAGACATGGCACAGCTGAGACCCATGCAGAGACTGACAACAAATAAGCAAAAAGGGCAAAGGCATTTGATCCATTCAAAGGACAGAAAGAGAAAGTTCTTGAGGGAAATGCTACAGCGGGCAGCCAGACAGGCAGAAGGCAGCTGCTCACTGTAGCTAAGAGAGTAACAAGGAGCACAGTGAGGGTCAGCAAAAATGCTTCAGAAGGTCCTAGAGAGACTTAATCACAAACAGAAATTTCACTAAAGCACATAAGGGACCTGTTAGAGTCACACTTAGGAAGGATCTTGGATGGTTAATGGTTAAAGCTAAGTTCCAGGCAAACAACATTTTTTCAGCACAGGCACTGATGGGTCTTTAGTTCCCACTCAAGCCAACCCAGCTCTCAGCCAAGCAGAGGCACATTCACAGGGAGAAGAAAAAACACAATTGCATTGCCAATGCTCAGTGCTGCATGTGCATCTTTTCTCTGCACTCAGGAGCTCCCATCTTCTCCCTGGCCATGGGTAGCAGAGAGAAGGAACAACTCTGTGTACATACAGCAGAAAAATTATAAGGGGACTAGAAAAAATAGAATTTTGGAAAGAGGAGAGAACTGTGAGAGATTATTCTTCCAAGAAAAATCAGTGATGAGGTAAAGGGACGACAGAAGAAAATCTAGGGGGAAAACTAGCATATTCAGATTAGATTTGTAGAAAGTATAGGACTCAGATTTGGCTGAAAAAATTGCACAGCCACATCCCACAACCATATTGGTTAAGTCAAGAATGCATAGGTTGTCAAGAAAAAGTAAACATAGGATTTATAACATTTCTTAATTGATACTTTCCTGCTTCAACTGTCCATATATATAGCCACCTTTCTTCTGGGTTTTCTGCTTTCTCTCTTATCTGATGTCAAAGACTAGATCCTTGTACAATCTTCTGGACATAAGCTGGCCTGACATGAATGTCAGCGCCTGTATGTACAGCAGATGTTACTAGTGATTCAATATACTAAAATCACACTCCAGACCTAGAGTCTCTATTTTTCTTTGCAGAATAGATGTCTGTCTTTTCCAGTCACATGTTCATCAGTGTTTCAATGCCTTGAGGTGTTGGCTGTCACTCAGCCAACTTTTCTTTTCTACTGACAATGTTTAAGTTTGGATTTTCCTTTGCATTATTACATCCTCCCTGCTCTCTTCGTGTTTAGACAGAAAGCTGTCTCCACATGAGAGGCTTATAGGTATCCCTGCCTCAGCTACTTGAAAGCAGGAGGCTTAGAAAGATTTTAGGAAGGACCGATCTCAAAATCTGGACAGGAGGGAGAGCAGAGATCTTATCTCAGCTTCCGAATATGAGCAAAAAGAGGAGAATAACCTGGAGATAAAGGAGTCCTGGACATGAATCAGAAGCAGAGAACTTGGAGGCGAAGCCACAAACAGCTCTCAGAGGTTAAGCTTTGGGACCTGTTATCCCTTAATGGACTGCATAGTCACCTCTAGCCAAAGCTGTAGGCCAATAATCGCCAACAAATTGAAAATGTAGGAGAAACAGTAGTCTTTCTTCTAGGTAAATATTTCACATTTCCTACGGATGGTCTGTCTGACACCAATTTATAGCAGAATATTCAGTATGTAGGGGACTACTATATAGGAAATTATCTCAAAGTTCCAGTTGTGCTAATCAGCTCTGTACAAAGTGTACAAAGCTCTTTTTTATGTCAGTTGCTACTGTATCTGTTAATCTTTCCTTTTTCCTTCAAGAGGGACCACCCACAAGATGTGCCTAACCCCAAAACAGAGGAAAAAGAAGTTACTAAACAAACCTCCTCCAACCAAGTTCCCCTCTCAGGTACAGTGGGTCCCACAGAAGAGAGTGGAAGGAAAGTGGAAGCCTCCCACACCTACCTGAAACCAACCAGGCAAGAAACCACCATGCAGTCAAAGAATATAGATCCTCTGGATACAAAGAAGAGCAAAAGCACAGAAAAGAGGAAGACTAGGTAGGTATGTTTGGAAAACGATTCTGATATACTTAGTTTCTGCTGCTGACTTTGAAAAGTAAGATGTGTCATATTTTTGTCTTCAGAAAATATATTATTGCAACACCTTTTCAGGGTTGCTGTGATTTTCCTAATGCTTTAATGGATTAGGAAGATGAAGAATACAGGGTGGGCTTTCCAAGTATCCAGACTTTGGTTTCTCAGATGTTTAGGTGCTTTTGAAAGACCATTCCCCCTGCCCACCCTCCCACCCCCTGGGTTCACAAAGATGGCAATCAAGCCAAAGTGCATGAATGTTCAGTGACTTAAGTGCTAGTGGTCTCCTTGAATGCTGAAGGATCTGCATACAGGCAGCTTTGATTTAGACACCCAGCATATGACGGAATCATATAGCATTGGGCAGACTCAGTGTTTCCTTTCTGCCTCAAATCAGCAACATGTCCTGGCACCAGAAATCTGTCTTTTCTGTATCTCCTTCGCTGCCATATCCATCCTAGCTTGTGCAGAAAAGGAGCAGATTTTTTGTCGGTGGTGTTGCACAAACTAGGCAAGCAAAAGTTAGATGGCAGAAGGAAATGAAAACTGTCACTGACGTGAGCATCTGCATGATGACAAAGAACAAGACTTGAACATAATCACTTCTGAAGCTACACCTAGGCCCCAAGTGATGTGTTCAGATATGTCATGTGTAAGTGCAGTCTATAGTATTCAAATATCTCTATGTGTTAGTGTGTCTGCACTTCAAAACAAGGCTTACTACATCATTTAGCAACACATGTTTCTACTGCAGACAGAAAGAGATTAAAATAGCACCTATTTAATACTGATCCTGGTACATAATGATATTACTAGGGTAAGATGTTTTCCTGAGTTTGTTGGCAATGGCATAATGGTTTTTTCCTGAACTTTTTTTTTTTAGGACAAATCCAATGAAGCAAAAAAGTGGAAAAAAATTACAGACTTCAGGTATGACAGTTTTTCTGATATTTACTCACTTCCCCATTGCTATTCGTACTTCAATAATAGATGAGAGAAGCTGAAACTTCCTGAGCTGGGAATTCTTTAGAACAAATATTCCTGTGTCCACATTGCCAATAGACCATCACTTGTATGGCCATATTATTAGAAGGTATCCTGTGCTCATTCCCTGCTGTGATCACATCTCACAATTCAGTGTCGGGTTTCTTCTAGAAAAGCCTTGACGTTTGACTTGTTTGGCTGATGGCAGCCATTGCAACTTCACTGCAAAATCAGATAAAATGCAGGATGGTGGAAAGGGTGAGAAAGCTGCATGCCTAGGACGGTTAAAAGAGATCATGTTGACCCATACCTCCTCTTCCAGTATGCTGTAAGGCTTCCCAAAAACCCATGTCTGAGCATGAATTTACCTCCAGATAGTGTGTCTGCAGTGTCGTCAAGCATGAGGTCCAGACTCATGTTTCAAGCAGAATGTGGACACGTTTTGGAGCACTCTCCACAATGTCATGTTGGGATTAGCATTAGCATCCTTTCTGACATCCTGCATTTCTGCACAAATCTCTACAGAATATCCAGCTGGAACAAGAAGGCACCTAAAGACAGTCTTTATTAATGTTCACAGTTCCCCTTGTTTATACTTCTCCATTTCCTGTCAGTGATTAAACGCTGTTACCTATGCCTGCCAAGGAATGACAAAAACTGGAGCCACTTAGCTTATTGATGCCCCTTACTTTATGTCTAAATTTGTGATCATTCTGCATGTGACTGAATCAGTCTCTTGAGCAAAAGCTTTTATGGTCTTCCTCAACATACTTCTCCATTTTGCTGAGTCACAAAAGTTTGAATGAACTCTTGTTCAATCAACCTCATTTTTTGTGAACATGATGCTACTGTGTGCTCCTCTTTGTAGTTGGCTGGTGGGCTGCATGCAGTTCATTGTCCTAATTGCCAGTTGGTGATCTTAAAGTGATCTACATGACCTGGAAGGAAAAGCATTTTGGTTTATGATGTGCTCTTATTTAACTGCTTTTCTCAATTTTTCTGTGGGCACACATCTCTCTGTCCACTAATAGACGTCGACCTGCCTGAAAATCTTGTTGCATCTCTCTCTACATACACTTTGGTACATGCATCTTTTTTAATATCCCATTGTTATGTTCTTTTTCACTCTCTTTCTCTCTTAACAGCCATTCATTTAGAAATGGGGGTACTGACAGAGGCTATGAGGAGATAAAAATTAGTACATGCTCAAGAACTTGTCTTAGCACTCCACATTAAATGGAGACAAATAATGACACATATTTAATCAGCAATAACAAATTTGTGCATTTCAAATTCATTTCCTGCATTTTAAAATAGTCTGTGACATACATATAGTGCTAAAACACCTAAACTATATTTTACTGGGGCTTAGTGCTACAATACTGTGTTTCTTGTGATTTTTATTGTGAAAACTGTAATAATAAAGTAGTGAAGCAATCAGAACAGAAATGCTTCATATATTTTCCTTTTACACACATACAACCATATCATTCAGAAAAAAAAGCCCGTCTTGACAAATCCAGCATTTGGATTTGTTGCACTGAGGCAAGGGGACCTGCCTAGTTATTTCAGTCACCTCCCCTCTAGAGTTTTGTCCCCATTTTCTATTCTATATAAAAAATTACTTTTGAGATATTAATTTTTTAGTAATATATTTGCAGCTTATTTTCTATAGGGAAGAAAAAATAGCTGATTATATTTCCCATTGTTTTCTTTCTGTTACGATCTTTGCTTCTTTCTCTGTGTCTAACTGTTCTTTTTTCCCAGTCGCTCATAGCTTTTCAGTTTTCCCTCTGATCAGCTTTCCTGTTCCTTTTCCTGCTAGCTCCAGACTATTCTTTCTCTCACTTTCCACATTCTTTCAACTCTACTCTGTGCCTCTTCCTCTTTTTAAACGCTACCTTCCTCCAAAGATGTATTCCTCCTCCTGTGCAATTGTCTCCCCTCTTTTCCTTCATTTTCTGGTCATGCTTCTCCCAGTCTGCATTCTACTATCAATTCCCAAATTTGCCATATTGACACAAAGGCAGCATGTGTTCTTCTAGGGCTTACTTAGACCTGCAGACTCTGTTGTCTTCTCAACCTGCTGATCAGCTTTCAGTAGAGAATGGAAATGATTTTCACATACCCTCAGGCAGCTGAGAACTATGACAATGTCATGTCAACTGATACCACCTATGCACAGGCTTTTCACACCTCTCAGGTGTTCTGCAAGGACTAAAGATGATTTCTGCTGTGAGGTGAGTAGGTGAGACAGCTTGTAGGAGTGACTGAAGGAGAACAGCATGGGAGAGACCAGGAAAAGGCCAGTTCGGAATACAGAGCACAAATTCTAGTAAACTCACCACTAGTAAACTCTCCACAAAGGCAAATCAATTCCCGCTGGTTGATCTTTCTTCCTCTGTGGTTCTTGGTGTATGTTTATCTTCTCTGTCCTTTTCTCTCTTTTGATTCCTTGTGCTTTTTTTCATTCTCTGCTTTCCTGTGCTGTTTTCCTCATGCTCATCATGTTTCTTTTCAGGAAATCAAAAGAGTGGCAGTAAGTCAAGTAGGCTGCTTCAAGTAATATCCCAGGTGATTAGTCAGTAAGAAAGAATAAAAGAAAATAAAGCAAAGCATCCTGGACATCAGATGCAGTTCAAACAAGGAAAAGATGTACACACGGAAGAAAAAATTCCCCTGCAGACTTCAATTCCATTCATAACCTCTTGCTATTGTAGAATTAACTATTACTGAAATACAAACTCTGTATTCCTCTGTATTAGTTCACAATTAGCAAGAACAAATAAATTTTGATCGTTGGCAGTGGAATCTACATTTTTCAGTGACTGAGACCATTTTTCAGGGAGAAGACTTGTAGTTTGCAGCAGAAGGCAAAGAAATAGACACTTGAATTAACTTTATAACACCTGGCTATGGCTTACACTTTTATATAGGGTCAGGAAGGCTTCTCATGCAAGCAACTTTCAGAACATTGCAGGGGAACAAGTGATAGAGAGCAGTATCATGTCGTGGGCACAAAATCATACTAACATAGGTTTTATTTCTGCCAGTGAACTTCTAGATGAATGTGGGCAAATCACTTTTCCTTTTTGTTCCTAAGCTTCTTCATTTGTAGAATGAGGGTAGCCAGACCTCTTTTGAAAATCACCATGCAATATACTGATGAGAACCATTATATAAAGATTTGGTATTGTTGTTCCTGTTGTTATTATTTAGACACTATAAAACATTGCTATCCTATTGGAATACGTAGCAGCATTTTTGCCAAGAACATATTTGCTGCCCTACAAAGCATTTCACATTAAGCCAATTAAATATCTGCTGCTGCTCTTGCTACCTGTCGCTATGACATTTCTGTGTAGTTTACAGCATGTGCACTATTTTACTGAAGTTTTGAAGCACAAGTTCTGCACAAGCGTAGCTAAGCATGGGAGATGGAAGACTCAGTATGCTTTCCTGCAAATGAGCAGAGAGGACATACATAATTCACAACTTCCGAAGAGACAAACGCCAATCTAATGTTCCTTGAGAATATAAATTAACTGAATACTCTTTGAGAGCTGCCCATGTGTAATCAGATTCCAGCCTAGGATGCCATAAGAAACAAGTGGTGGCAAATTCAAATTCTAGATATCACCCAAAACGTGAACAAGAGTGAAATACCATTCAATATAACGAAATTCCAACATTATTTTCCATGGTGAAAAAAAATTTCTAGATTCTGTTTACCAAAAGAGCAAAGCAGCAATTACTGACAAGGAGGAAACTTTTAGGTGGTCCCTGAGAAAATGGTTGTACAACATATTTTCTGCTCAAGGGACAGTAAGTACTTGAATGACACACATTTCATGAAGTGCTGTTGTCCACTACAAGAACAAACGTAAAATACTGCAAAAATTAGGATCAGTAACAGTATCTTCACTATCATCAGACTGGCTACAGATGCTTACCATCAGTGATGTCACACTAAACTTACACACTAAAAGTGAAGAAGATGAAATTAAAATTGTAGAACACTGGAAAATTGATGATACATATTTTGAATATTCTTAAATAGAGTATACTGCATTCAAAAGCTGTTTGTGTTTGAAATCAGAAATAATAATTTTGCTAGCACAGAGGTAATAACTATGACTGATTTCGTATCAAGATATGCTGCATATGCTAGGTAACATAGAATGGAATGCAATAAATTAAAGATTTAATTAGGAATATCTCCCTCGTAAGCTAAATACCATGTCTGGAGAAGCACTGCACACTGCCTATGATGATAAAGAGAAATTCAGTTTGCACCCAAACAACCTGCCAATGCGTAAGGCCACCACAGATAACCTAGTTCTAAGGAATAAGTTAAAGTCCATCAAAGGAAAGGGATCAGGTGTCCAAGCATATTTTGAGAAGAGAGATTTTCAGACAAGAACCAACGTAAGTGAGTTACACTCTCTTGAATTCTCAGAGCTGAGTTGTTGATAAGTAAATGTATTTGCCCCAATTACATGTATTTGTCAAAACAGAAGACAGTCTGATGAGCCAGGATGGAAGAATTAACAAAATACATCCACAAAAACTTACTTTATGCTGTGGTAAATGGGACAAAGATGCCCACTAAAGTTCATGACAGTTGTTCTGAAGTCATTAATGTGGCAATGTGATACTAGAATAATTACAACTCTTGAGCATTGTGTTTCTCTTCACTGACTGAACAGGTAGATATAGTCCTTTACCTGCAGAAACCAGGATCAGTCTGAGACAATACATTGTGCTGCCAAAAATAGTCACTCTTACACACACAGTACCCTAACCTATGGCCATGCTGACAGACATTGAAGAGACAGGGTGTGACAAAGGACTGCTGCACCATGCAAATGGAACTACTATGCAGCCTCAGTTTACTGGAATCCAATCTAAAATGCTCTCAGTCAACGCTGCAAAAAATAAGCAAC